TATCCTGACCTGCCACGACATGGATGGATGGCTTTTCATTCTGCTTTTCTCACCAAGCACGCACCACCATGCCCACGTCCCACCAGCTCAGAGGGGGAGTGCTAAGGCTCTGAGGAAGACTGCCTCTGACTTTGGGCTTCCATTCTGTCCCACTGATGATTGCTGAGAAGTCTGCTAACTCCAGAGTCCTCATTTGTGAATGGTAACTGTAACAGTGCCTACTTTATAGGGCTATATCAAGTGTGAATGATTGTAATACATAGCATGTAGATGATAACCAGATAAATATGAGCCAAACTGGAATTATTAAACTGTCATCAGATGTATACATAGTTTAATATCTTGCTACTTTTAAGTCCCAAATTACCTCCTGTGGATTTTTATAAGTCACTGTAAAAAAATCTTTCAAAATGCTTAAATTTTTGGTTAAACATTTATTTATGCATTTATTGTGTGTGTGTGTGCGCGCGTGTGTGTGTGCATGTATGTGCGCATGCATGTGTGTGTGTGTGTGTGTGTAAAAGCATGCGTACTCATGAGCATTCAAACATGAGCATTCATGTGTGGAGGTTGAGGAATAGGTTTGGGGAATTGGTTCTTTGCTTCCACTGTGTGGGGTCTCAGGGATTGAACTCCAGTCATGAGAAACCATGACCTCTGATGAACTGTGTTTCTGGCTTCTCAAAAACATCCTAATGGCCTTATAATACTTTAATATAAAAACTATTTGCTTATTTGTCTGTCTATCTATCTATCTATCTATCTATCTATCTATCTATCTATCTATCTATTGTGGTAGTGGAGACCGAGCCTACAGCCCACTCAGGCTAGACAAGTAAGTTACACCCCCAACTTTGTAGTGTATTTAACCAGTTTTTAAATTGTTAAATATTTTCGACTTTAACTCAGATCTATCAGTAACTCTAGTGTAGATCTTGTTTTTTTTTTTTTCTCTGTGGGATAAACACTGAAATAAAATCCTAAAACACAATATCTATAGGTGTGGAGATGGCTTACATTTCATAGCACTGCCTGCTCTTCCAGAGGACCCAGATTTGTTATCCAGCACCCATTCATCATAACCATCTGTAACTCCAGTTTCAAGGGATCTGACACTCTTTTCTGGTCTTCAAGGGCACTGCATGCATGAGGTGCACAGAGAAACATGCAGGTAAAAAAAAAAATAT